AAAAAAAGAGCAAATTAGACGTGGGGCATGGTCACTTGGTTGAACATTTTAAAATGAGAATTGATGATGTAGTTGTTCAGAAAGCTAACAATGTACATACTTAAGTTGTAATTTTAGTGTCATTCATTAAAGCTCTCACTGCAAGCGTCCTTTATTTATGAATTTTAAGGACTTTCAAACGAGTATACTGACAACCTTTTCCGTTATGCGCCGAGAGCAACTTGTTCACGACAAAATCCAAACTGTGGCTCACCATATTTGTTCTGTGACACACGTGGTAATCCACATTGTGTAGCTAAGGTGTAGTTGGCTTTCTTCTAGCTTTCTTTGAACACTTGAGAAGCGGCAGTTACCTCAGATAAAACCGAATGGTCTTTGTCGTGGATTCGAAGGATTTGACGCATGCTGGCAAGGATCTTGTGTTGCAAGCTGGTGTCGACCAGGGCAGCAGTTCCAGCAGCAGTTTACCGATGTTTGTTGTCAAACAGGCTTGTAGATTTGCTTTTTTCTGCAAAGACTACTTTTAGCAGCAACCTCAAACAACCGCTATGCAGACCGTGCAACAGCGGAACACTATGCAGCCGTCGCAACGATTTCAAACAAATACACCTCGTTCTCAAACGGCACAACCTCAAATGGTCTGTGAGAACAATCCTACACTCGAGTGTATTAGATGACTTAAAGGATGCTTACTATTTATTTGATGACATAATTACATCGTGATTTCTCCTTCACAAAAACGAATCCTTTTCATAATTTTTAGCCTTCGGCTTTAAAATGTTCATGTTGAGGCTCCAAACCCCGCTCTCAATAGCAATTGCTACAATGATGATCCTTGTTGTGATTCTTGGGCACGACAAGGGGAATGCAGGATAAATCTGGCCTACATGAACAGATACTGCCGAAGAAGTTGCAGAATATGCGCGAACCCCACCGATAACAGAATGGGTAAGTGCTACGCTCTTGCCTCCATAACACTTAACTTACTACCTTAAGGCTGCCATGACCGACATCTGTCTTGCGCCTTTTGGCGTGCACAGAACTACTGTACCCGAAGACGTCAATGGATGGCTGAGAATTGTCAGGCTACCTGCGGATGGTGTAATATGAATCCTCAACAGCTATGCGCCTCCGTTGCTTTTATGAGCAGAGCATAAGATCGAAGCTTTTGAAGTCTGCCA